CGAGAGCATGAGCATCATATAGGCCCTAATAATCTATGAATAACCTGAAAAGAGTTCGTGCTGCTAGCTTATTGCTGTCGAGATATTGTATTTTTACGATGTGTTTTTAGATGAATGCCATGGTCCCCCTCGGGAACACTAGAAAAAATGATTTTCGAATTTAGACTTGAAACTTTACATAGAAACAAGCCTTCTTAAGAATAGTTATTTGTGAAAGTTTCAGATGTTTTGATTAGTTCCTATCCTGAAATGAGAACATCAAATCTACTGATTTATCCAAATAAAGTTAGCATAGCTGTATCTACGGATGGGAACAACAAAAAGATCTGAAACTTTCACAAAAAACTATTCTCATCAAGGTCTGTTTCTATGCAAAGTTTCAGGTCAAAATTATAANGATAAAAATTTTATTGAAATTATTAAAGATTAATAATTAACATAAATATCAATCGATAGAAAATTTAATCAAAATTTTTGTATACAATGCGAAGTATAAGTTACTACAGATGTTAATAAATTTGTTCGTATATTTATTTATACGGCATTAATTTGTACGCATAAGCATTAGTTTTCGTCTATAGTTATACGTGTTCAAGGTAAACAAACAAAGAAATCATTGAAATGCTGGAATATAACGAGGGATTTTTTTTTATTCTGATTTAATTAATAGTTTGAAAATGTAACTATAAACGAAAAATATTATAGACATGATATTAATATATGAATCTAAATGATCTTGAGTGAATACAGTATAATTCATGGAAAGATATCAAATCATGTTATTTAAAGAAACTTTTATTTTGTTTTGTAGATATAATTTTATTCAAATAGAAACAAAAAACAGTTATATTTACTTATTCATATGAATCATGATCATGGAATATTATCAACTTTCTCTATTGTTCAAATAAAGCATTCTATTCAAATAAAATACTAATGGTAACTGCTCAATAGGTTTGTATTCATTGAATTCTTTCACAATAAATTGTAAATATTGACATTTTGAAAGTAAAGCCCATGAAAACTAAACATATTAAGTCTTATGAGTTTTTCTTATCCTACATAGTTTTATAAGCTAGTCTAGAATAAATAATATTGAAAACATAGCTATATATGGATGAAAATGATTTTTAAGATTTTGAAATAGTTTCAATAGAAATATCAATAGTGCACAATAAGTGTTTCATTATTATATTAAAGAGCTATTATTTGAGTGAATTGACTTTATCGGTCTTGACTACTTACATTTCATAAAAGTTTTCTAGCACATATTATAGAAAAGAAAAAGGAAAAAAGGAGAAAAAATATATAAATTTAATAGGTTAGACGAGAACTATAATTTCACAGATATAGAAAAATTGATCAATGTGACAAAGAAAAGATTATAATGTTTTCTGATTGGATTGAGTGAATAGATCAACTTTAATTAACAGGTTAAAATAACTTGTCAAAGAAGGTAGGAGAATCTTGATAGAATTTATTCATGCGTGTGATAGGTCGTCCTCTTGAAAGTGACTGAATACAAGCTTTTTTCATGTAGTATTGACATGTTTTGTTAACAATAGTTTTACTCATTATGTAACAAGCAATTAATTCTTGTTCATGTCGTTCAACATTTTTTAGTCGTCTTAGTTGAATCTTCTTTTCAATAGTTCATAATAAGTGTCTTATATATGAAGTTATAAACACATTTGATTTATTGATAGATTCATGATATTTAAGGCGTTAATATATTATGTAGGAGTGGTTTTTCTTCAAATATATCAGTCGTTGATTATCCATTATTGATGGATCGTGGTTAGAAAATGTGAGATTGTTGTTAGATTGAAAAGGATTTTATTTCATGTAAGTTTTCATCTTTGTAGATGTGATACTCATTATTCTAAAACGTAGAAGAATAAAACATGCTGTTCATTATGTAATATTTGCAGAGTCAGTTGAAGAAGGATTTTTTTATTTTGAAGAGTTACATTCAACAAAACAATTTGTTTTTGTAGTTGAAAAATAACAATTAACGTTTTAGTTATTATGATATATTAATTTTTAGACGTTATATTTCAATAAGATCCAACAAGTCGATTTTTTCGAAAAATGTTCTGTAATTGATTTGTATTATATTTTTAATTGTAATGCTAATAGTTTACAAATATCACATTCTCGAAGACGAATTATTCAAAATATGAATTTATTTATTTCTTAATGAAAATATCAAAAAAAATTGGTGCTAACATTTATACTATTTCTTCAAATAATAATAAAAAGAAATTTTGAATGTTGTCTTATGTGTTTATATCCATTTTCTAATCAATTTAAACGTACATTGATAGAATCTCATTCAATTTATCAACATTATCAAATTGCAAGACATAATAATAGGAAATGTTAATCATGTTTACAAAAAAGACTCTTCATCAAAATAATCCTTCATTTGGTTATGAATCTGATTTTGGTTTTCTTAAACTTGAAGTTAAATTCGACATTAAAGTATGAATTTACGAAAAAAAAGTATTTAATTTTTTTTTGTTGTGTTTATTTATAGAGAAAGCACAAGACAATTAATGGGTGAAATACCTGATATTAAATATAATTATCTTGGCTTTTATAAGCATTCATGTATCAAAACATCTTAGAAAGTAATTAAGGATTTAGAAGAGTTTATGTTAGATATATCTCAGGTCAATTTTTCAGTAAATGTTGACAGGATACAACAATTAAATCTTATTAGTAAATTAAGTTCATTATTGAAAAAAATCTTTTGGTTTTATATCTAATTTACAGTAGCTGTTTATAAATAGTACAATAACGAAATGATTGTAATAGAAAAAAAAAGAAAAATTATATTTTTCGAACGATCTAAAACAAATCAACAAAAGTTTTATTAGTAAATATTGTCGCTTGAACTGATGAGAATAGAAAACTATATCGTTTATTTAACATCACTTGCTTCTATTTATTCTCTTGAGACAAGCTTCTATAGGTAGAGGTTTAGATTTGTTTCGGTCATTCGATTTTTGCATTCTTGTCTTCGATAATTACACTTAAAAATCGAATTCATATGAATTGATGCATAAAAATAGAGTGTTGCACAAAGTTATCATTACAACTCTTGGATATGTATCCAATCAATTGCCACAACATTTTTTTATTATTTCTTGAATATTCATCAATCACGGCATCAACAACTAATCAACTGATATTATAACAATACATCTGATGAGTTGAAATTTCGATTTAATACTATCTATGACTAGTATAAAAATCAAACCAGATACTGTTCGAATGAGCCTGTGACGATTAATGAGAAATGTTTTTAAGAAAGAGAAAAAGAAAAACACAATTATGATTGTCTCTTTAGAGAATAAATATATCAAATAACCTTTCGTGATTGTCCTATCTATGTTATTCCGTAGCTGTTGTCATGTACAATTGAATTCATCATAAGAAGATTCTGTCAAATTTCATTCTTTTTGTACATGAAATGCATGCCTTCAGTACACTCGTTTTATATGAATATAATGATATATATGTCAGTCATAAATAAACGAGATAAAGAGATCAGATTTCTTTAAATGGTTCAGCAATGCAATAATGAGATTCAACGAAAATAACATATACCGAAGCGAAATAATTTTCAAACGAAAAAAAAAGAAATCATACTGATCGCCATCAATATAGATAAAATAAGTGTGTTTGTAATAGAAATCATAGTTGCGTAAAAGGGCTGGATAATAAAGCTAAAAATCATGTTTTAAAATCTCTGGTTTTGGTGGGGTCCGAGTAGACTCTGTATCAGTGGTGAGATCGATTCCTATGTTTTTTGGAATCGAACCAATTTTATCTGTACCCTGAATTTTCCCCTCTGAAACCAATATATAAAACTCCATGCTGGTCTGTTACATTAATTAAAAAGCAATGATTAAAAAAGGAAAATAGTTCCAGAAGATAAATAGAGGTTCACTAGGGAGGAAATATATCCAATTGTATGATACCGTTCAACAACATATCTTGTCTATGAGTAGGAATTAGTGAAATTAAGAAAATCCTAAATGGGTTCAAATCCATGCAGTATTCAGTGAGAGTTATAACTGTTTTAGTCGATCTTCGACTTTCAGACGAGCTATTCATGCAAAACTCAAGTACGAAATTTTCATCTGAAATCTCGTTCATAGACAAATCTCACAGTCATTAAAATCTTCCTAAAATTTCTACTCAAACGAATGTATTCTTCCTGAGATGTCAATTATTCAACAAATGTTTTATATATTACAAGCCGAGTCATACAATCGAATTGTTTTCGACTCTCGATATCTCAAAAATATATTTGCTTGAACTGAAAATTTTTCGATATTGTTATATTCGTGAGACGTGTCCATGGGCAAAGTTTCACATGAAAATCTTGTAAATAAGTTTTTCATGAATAGCTCGTCGTCACTCTAACTGAATGATGCATGGGCCTGAATTCCATTGAGAATTTTCTTTTGTTTCGCTGAGTTCTACTCGTAGTCAAAATATCGATTGGACCGAAATCCGCTAACTGGATATTTACCTTTGTAAACCACAAAAGTATAACGTAGCTCCATGTGAATACAGCAATAATTACGCCAAGATATATACTAATTTATGAGTCTTAGGTAACATGTTTAGTTTTTAGTTATTATTCTCTCGAATTCAATTAAAAAATGTATTCCATTATTAAATAATCATAAATAAATGCAATATAAATCTGATCCAATCAGATGTTTGTTTTGAAATCAATTAATATTAAAAAAATATTTGTTTAAATTTAGTTGATGAGATTGAAGAAACAAAAATATCGAACAACTTAAATAACAAAGTGGCCATCAAATAATTACACTTTTACAATTAGAAGAATTTTTTTCTTAATATTCTTGACTTTTTAAAAATTTTTGCTGAATTCTTTGCACAAATATGTGTTAATCAGATGGATCATTACTTTAAATAAAATAAAACTATTGTCGTTCTTTTAGATTATTTTTCTAATGGATGCTTCCGCATTACTTCTTCTTAAACAATTACGTGAATTAAGTCGTCATCCTGTCGAAGGTATTAGTGCAGGTCTTATCGATGAATCAAATCCATATGCATGGAATGTTATTTTGGTTGGGCCATCTGATACTTTTTATGAAGGTAAATTTGTGTTTTATTTATTTTTTTGGAAAGAAAAATTTTTATTAAAAAAAATTATATTTTAATTAGGAGGATTTTTTAAAGCACGTTTGGATTTTCCAAAAGAATATCCAATTAAACCACCGAAAATGGTATAAAGTTATTATTTAATCGTATTAATCCTATTTTCTTTTCTTCATATAGAAATTTATTTCGGAAATTTGGCATCCGAATATTGAGAAAAATGGCGATGTATGCATATCAATTGTAAGTTCAATATTCTTTTTCTTTTGATTTTATTGATAACAGAAAACTGAACTTGCTCTAGCTTCATGAACCTGGTGTTGATCAATTTGGTTATGAAAACCCTTCGGAACGTTGGTCGCCTGTTCAATCAGTTGGTACGTTTTTTTGTTTTTGTATGTTTTTTTTTTCGATTCTTTTTCATTTTTGTCTCTTGTAGAAACAATTCTTTTATCAGTTCTATCGATGCTAAGCGATCCAAACTGTGATTCAGCAGCCAATATTGATGCATCGGTGATGTGGCGTGATGATAGAGCAGCATTTAAGAAAAAAGTTAGCGAATGTGTAAGAAAAACTCTTGAAGATTTGTGATCGAACTTAGAGATTTGTATACATTTTACTGCAAATATATATACACTCTTTTCTTCTGATCTTGTCGTTTATTTATATTCGTTTGAACAGGAAATATACAATAAAAAAATCAGAAGAAATCTATATTGATAAATTATTCAAGAAAAAAAAACTCTTTGATCAAGGATTTACACAATGCTATTTTTATTATTTCATCTTTAAATATTATTCATAATATGATGTTTATTTATAAGTAATTTTACTTGAGAAATAGATTTTTGCAGAAAAGAAAAAATAATTTTGAGAACTAATTAGAAATTATTTTAGATAGGTTTGCAGATTGAACTGATGTATGATTTTTTCAATATAAGTTGGTAATTGAAAGAGAAAATTGTGCCAAGTATCTTGTGTATTATGTTTTTCAATTACTAGTAAAAATCGATAATGATCAAGTTATGGCATATGTTATAGGTTGGTGTGCTTTTCTAAAGGTACTCAGCCAAAATACAAAATTATAGAATAGAGGTTGGATGTCGTATGAAAAATTTATATTTGTCCGATATAATGTTTTTTTTTAAACTTTGCACGACAAAGAGCATGTCAAGATTCAGGGCATGACAAAGTCTTTTTTTTAATTGAGCTTTGTTACTATTATAAAAAAAAGAGTACTTTTATGATCAGAGCGTCATCTTTTGATTTTTTTAGGCATTGAACTTTTCATCTCTTTAGTCTTGTGAAAAAGCAAGAATTTAAAAAAAAATTTTATCAGGCACTGGAGTCTGACATGCTGTTTCGCACAGACAAAGCTAAGTATATTGAACGAAGTGACGCAGAGAATTTTTGAGTGATCAAATGAGCTATTTTGAACATTTGTTTAATAAATATCTCGCTAAAACATCATGGTATATGGCTGAAAATTATACTGTAGCCTCTCCACGATGGGCCCAATATATTCTGAAAATTTCATGTGGCTTGATTATGTCTGGCCCAAGATCGACTTTTGAAGGGTGATAGGAGAGCTTAAGTCGAATATCTATTCATCGATTATGGGTTTCTTATGCAAGGTATCTATTTCTATAACATGTATATGAATGTTGGTTGCTTTATCAAGAATAAAAATAGATAATTCTTGTTTATATAAAAGAGACGTGTGAATGTTGTCTTCAATTTGTTGATCTTCGAGTATGTGTAGTGGGTTATTATCAGAACCGTATAAGTGCCTAAAACAAATACTACAATACAAAATTGAGTTTGTATTATTATTGACGTTGAGTTATCTACCATATGGTATGGTATATTAGTAAAATTAGAAGCCGAATGTCAATGTCAGCTATATCTGTTGTTGTATTTCCTTCTGATGTATTAAATAGCATTTGTCGACAAAAGCATCGAAACTTAACAGAACGGTTACAGATAGATGATTTTATAAAATATAATTAAAGCATTTTATATTTCGTATAAATATGAATTCTTGTTCTGCTTATCAAGTTGGTTCTTAAAACCCAGATGATTATCTCGATTTCTAAGAAGAATATTGATTTCCATGATGAGTAAATAATATTAATAAATAGAATGAAATAAAAGACATTCATCTTATGGAAAATCGTTGCCATTTAAATGAAATAGTTTCTTAATAATCGTTTATTGTTTTTTTTTTCTTCTTACATCGATAATCGTCTCATTGAAGTCTTGCTCTTGTTTTGTAGTTAACACCAGGATAAATAGAACAAAACATCCATAAATCTGTATTATCTTCTATATCTCTACAATAGTCAAATGGAAAAGTAGCTTTGAAAATATATACTATATTCAGTTAAAGACTCATTTGATATGTGCAAGAAAAATGGACGAATAAGAATGAGTCGAATCCTTCAACAGCAATCCTTGAATGCCTTTTTTTATTTTAGTTTTTGTCCATGGCCAAAAAAAACCATCTACTATAGAGACACTCCTATCAAACTGGTTCACATGCATGCATAACAAAGACTCAGATTGATCGTAACTGTGTTCTTTCTCTTCCAGTGATCATACATAATACAAAAAATGAGTAGATATTTATACAGCGGAGAAGTTTGTTATTACTTAGTTACTGATTTGTTTCCTTTATGACACAACTTGTCGACCTTTTTTGTATGAAAACATTACAATCATCTTCAGTTTTTCTATACAATGATAAACATTATTTTTATTTGCTTTGGAATCATCAGTGTCTTTTAGTTTTTTGTCTTTAGGTTTTGAATTAGGTGTTAATTTAAATGATTTAATATTGCGGGTTTATTAGTCTCATGTTGTTCACAGGGATGTATCAATTCCAGTTCGTAGAATTGATTGGATTTGGTCTTGAAAAAAATTGAAATGAAATAATTAATTTAAGTGAATATATACATAATGAGTCATTCTATAGTGACCAGATCTAACCAATCCAAAATTCTACCAATTCCAAGTCAAAAATTGGAATTGTTGCATCTCTAAATATCGTTGCCTTTTTAACTTGCTTTTTTTTTGAAAAACTGAGTTATCTAAGGATACATTCTAGACTGAAAGGAGAGCTGGCTCAACATTAAAGTAAGGAGTCTTAAAAATAAAAACAATTCACATTGTACCCGTATATGTTTACAGTTCTTAGTAGAATATTTAATTGAAAGACCAGATCATTCCGAGAAACAATTTTTGAGCCTCTAGGCAGGCGTTTAGATTGTATTTGCTCAAGTCAAAACTGCAACACTGTTTTATTTTGATTATTTCGAACTTTTATTTATTTCTGAAGAAAGCTTTAATTAATAATTCAAATAATGGAAGACTTATCATATGCTAGTTCAGTAGCTGGATAAAGGGTGTTTCATAATAACTGACGATAAATTGTCAATGACATTTTTCATATTTTTTTTTGACGTAGAGGACTGAAAGTTTGGACACATATATATCTAACTAAGATCTTTAATGTTCCAAAGTTTCATCTCTGTACCTAAAACTATTGCTGAAATGCGAAGACAGCATTGAATACATGCATTTTGGTACTTGATTTTGGTGACATCTTTATCACTTACTGAATCGCGACGTAGTGATCAAGATTTATTTAAAATATATAGGAACTCATATATATCTAGAATTCTTCAAATCTAATGACCAATTTCGTCTTAAATGTCCATCAGTTACGAAGAAAGAAAAGATTTTAGGTATTTTGTATTGAATTTCAAATGGCTCAATACAACATGGAGTATTGACCGTATTGTTCGGTTCATTCTAAGTTCTGATAATCCACCAAAATTAAAATATAAATCACTTCACATATGTGTATCATGAATATTGAAAAGGGGGACCATTAATGATAAAATACGACCTGGTCGTCCGATAACAGTTACAACATCTGAATTTCGACAAAATGTTAGTAATTAGCTTAGATTGAAAAAGGGAGCTTCTATTAGGGAAGCTGATGTTAGTGTCAAAGGAGAACAATTTACATCATCTACAGCTTCAGTTTATCGAGCAGCTAGAAAGTTAAAACTAAGGTGGTACAAAAAGAAAAAAGCACAAAAGTTAAATGATTTTGATAAACTACAACGTGTTAAATGTGCAAAAATGTTAAGAAAAAAGTTTGGTGCTTGAAAAAACGCTAAATGGAAATGGAATCGTGTTGTCAATTGTGATTTCTCAGGTTTATTTACTCTTCAAGGTTTTCATAATAAAAGAAACGATGGGGTATGGGCTGAAGAAGGCGAAGAAATTGAAGCAGGTTTAATTGATGTACAAACAGATAAATTTCAACGAGGTGTAATATTTTGGGGTGCAATATCATCGCAAGGTCTTATTCCTTCACATGGTCCAAATAATGTTAGTGATTGGTTAGAACAGCAACGTCCTTTAAACAGTGACAGACGAAAACGAGTGTACTTAACAAACCAATTATATGAGAAATTCTTAAAACAGAAAGCAGCTCCAGCAATTAAAAAAGCATTTCGAAAACCTAAACTAGATCCAATTTTTCAGGATGATCAAGATCGAAAACACCGAACTTCATTAGTAAGAAATACAGTTGCACAATTATTTAATGAACGTATAGAACCAGCAGATGGTGATACTAAATTTGCTGATGTATGGAGAATTGAAAATATTTGGGGTGTATTGAGGGAAAAGTTCGTGGTAAAGTGTTTGATACGCGGTTGCACTTAGAACAAGAGATTGCAAAAGAATGGAAAAAATTCTCGAAAGAAAAATGTGCAAAAATGATGGACGAAATACCTTATCGATTACAGCTTGTCATTGCAAACAACGGAGAGCATATTCGTATACATTGCATTTTATTATTGTTTAAGTTTTTAAAAATAATTGTCTTGCGAAGTTTCTTTCCATCATGTATTAATAAATTTTGCTAGTCAAGAAATAAAGATATCACCTAAATCAAGTACGAAATTTCATGTATTCAATGCTATCTTCGCATTTCAGCAATAGTTTTAGCTACAAAGCTGAAACTTTGGAAAATTAAAGATCTTAGTAAGATATATATGTGATAAAACTTTCAGCCCTCTACATAAAAAAAAAATATGAAAAATATCATTGACAATTTATCGTCAGTTATTATGAAACATCCTTTATTGTACTTCAACAAATCCGATACATCTCTGAAATTCGTTTAAAGCATATATGGAGGAAGACTTCTTGTGTCATTTCGATGCCCAAACACCAGAAACAATGGCATTCTATGCAATCGAAAAAAAACCGAAAGAGTAAAAACAAAGTTGTAGAGATTTTGCTAAACCAACACCAGCATCAGTTCCTTACTCATTTGAACCAAAACTTATCAACAAAGACGAAGAGCTTCGAGTATGACAGAAAATGTATGAAACGTTAAATCAAGATAAGCGTTCAGCAGCGGATGAGATTCCTGCAGCTCATCGTAAACAAACAACCACTGATGGCTCATGTTTTTTTATAGATGAGCCTGGAGGATACAGGATAAACTCGCCTTTATAACATCCTGACCATTTATTAATGAGACAAGGGTAGGTGTGGGTGAGTGTGGCTGGATGTGGGATGTGGTTGTGCGTGTGGGTGTGGGTGTGGGTGTTGAACTTCTCTACACTAGAACAACCCACATCTTCAGCCACCCATACCTTCAACCACCCATATCCCACACATTCATACCCATATTCACGCCCACACTCATACCCAGCCCAACACCCACCCACACCCACACCCACACCCTATTAAGGAAAACTATAAAGCCATTTTCTACCGTCCTTTTCAGTCTGTTTCTGCTTTTTAAAAAGTATAAAAAGATACTGATGTTTGAGGATGAAAATTCGAAAACCTGATTTTAAAGTTTGCAGGATATAAGGATCTTATCTCACCTTGTCCTGTGCTACGCAGTCATGAGCAAGACAGGGCAAAAATAATTTTTTTCTGTCTTGCCCTATGAACACCTCTGCTCTCACTGTGAAAAAATAAGGATAGAATAATAAACCCTTCTCATGAAAAAAGTAGAATAAAACATTCTTCTGCATAGAATAATAAACCCTTATCTCTAACTGGAATGATAATAAACCCTTATGCAATATTCATATACTCTTGGTTTCATAAATCTTTGACCTTGTATACCCCTAAAGGATTTTGGACATAGGAATAAGCCCTTAAAGGGTTTATGAAAAACTGCGATTAGTAGAAGAGTTTAATATTCAATTCCTTTTTTTTACAGTGCATGAATGACGCGTATCTCTTGAAAGTGCAATCGGGTTCGAAATGATTGTCGAATTGCATTATTTTTGAATATGGGCAGAAAAATGTGTCATGCGTGACGCATGATATACCTTACACAATTTGTTATGGCGATGGAACTTACAAAATCGTTGCGCAAGTTTTATAACTCTGTCTTACTCATGTAAATTGTATATAATATTTGTAAAGGCAGACTGAATATAAAAAACCTCATTTTCAATCATCAGTTTGAAGGTATTCCAAAACATATTCTGTTGAAAAGTTTCTTATTACAACTTAACAAAGATTTTGATTTCTATCAAGGCAACTACAAAACATTATAATGGTGAACATAAACGTAAAAAACGTCGTCCAATCAATGCACCGTTCAATATTCAAATTCCATCATCACTTCGAGATGCACAGGAATGCACCTTTTCAATTGAAAACCTTGCATGTTTGGAAAATGGCAATGATGCACGTGATATTGCTCTTGGATTTTTACATGATCATGAAGTATTTGCATCGCTTTGGAACTCGGATAAAATTCGTCCAGATACACGACGTTTAATGCGTAAACTCGTACAAATACAAACAATTAATGCTGTATGCAATGCTTTTTATCGACTTCCTGATGGTACGAAAATAGATTTGGACAATAATAAAATGGTTTATGCTGCTCAAAATACAAGACAATATGCCAATGATCACAAGTATGATTTCACTCTCCAAGAACGTTCTTATGAAGAATTGTCTGAAATACTTGTTGTTGATGGTGATTGTCATGACATGGTTCTATGTTTTAAAAATAAATATCCAAAATGTAATCCAGTTGTACTTAATATGGCTTCGGCAAATAATCCTGGAGGTGCTTCGAGAAATGGTGCTGGAGCACAAGAAGAAAATCTTCATCGTCATACAAATATGTTTCAATGTCTCCAAGATCCTTACCGTGAATTAGAAGGTCATCGACATTGGAAATATCCTATACCTGAATTCAGTGGTATTTATTCTCCTGATGTTAATGTTTTTCGTGGTTCAGAATCTGATGGTTATCAGTTTTTTCCTGATGGTCCAAAATATATTTCGTTCATTGCTTGTGCTTCTTGTGCTCATCCACCAATTGAGATGCAAGAAAATGGAGAATTTAAACTTAGTGGTAATAAATTAATAGAAGATACAAAAAAGAAAATAGAAACTATTTTTAAAATTGCACTTGAAAATAAACATTATATTGTCATATTATCAGCATTGGGATGTGGTGCTTTTAAAAATCCTCCTCGACATATTGCACAATTATTTAAAGAAGTCATATCAACAAAATATTCGAAATCATTTAAATACATCGTTTTTTGCTATAATTAATAATCATAATGCTAAGAAAATTCATAATCCTATTGGTAATATTCAACCATTTGCTGAGGTTTTTCAAGTCAATGCAGTTTCTATTGATGAACTTCAAGAGAAACTTTCTCAACCGACAGAATAAAAAACAAATTGTTTTATGATATACTTATCAATTATGTCTTCATTATTAAAAAATAAAAAAAAAGGATCAACTCTGATCAAATAAATGTTGCGATGACGAAAATGAGCGAGTTGGTGACAACATTAGCCTGACAGAGCAACACTTTATATATATTACGTTTCTTGGCAAAAAAAATCCACAGAAATTTATTGGTTCACGAAATACAAAATGTTGAAACTGTTGTTCAATAAAATAAGATAGATTTTTAACATCATACCACTAATTGTGACCATTATTCTCGCTAACTAGAGAGATTGGCAAGGTTCCAGTTTACGGTCCATCAGTAAAAAAGTTACTATGGATGTACAATGAACGTCGGAGAAGGTCTCAACACTTCTTGCTTCTCTCCTCTTCTCTTCCCTGTCTTTCCTTTATCTTTTCCGTTCATTTCTATTCATTCCAATTCATCTCTATTGATTTTCCATTGACGGACCATAAACTGCAATCTTGCCGAAGAAAAAAAAATCACTAAAGAAATTTCTCGCTCTTTTTATATAAAAGTCAATCAACAAACTGAAACAAATTCTTTGAATTAGTTTTCAGAAGAAGTTTTCTGATAAGATATTTCATTCGAATAAAATTCAATGAAAATCTTTTGAAAATTAATCTATCAATATCACTATTATCAGCATGTTTTCTCTTCAATATTATAATTGGAATCAAAGACGAATTCTAATAATAAGAGCAGAACATTGAATAAACTTTGCTTTACAATGAATAGATGATTTATTTTCAATAAATTTTCTATAGATATTCTTTCTTATTCAAATGATCAAACTACTACTCTGTCTATTTCGATCTATTTCAAATAAAAACCTTTTTTTCCTTAAATATTCGTTAAAGTTTTGGAAAGATTTTCTTGTCCTTAGTTATTCTCATTATTGATCTTTTTTTGTTTTCAATTCTAAAAAAAGCATTGAATAATGAAATGAAAATATTCTTCCCTCAAGTTGAATGATAAAAGAATTTTTCAAACCTAATAAATAGAGTTCTGATCAATATTCATGAAATCTCGATCATTTTTCATTGATATATTTTGCTAATTATTTCTTGGAAAAAAACTTTCTTTTCATATTTGTTCTAGACTAGTTTCATGTATACGAACAAATCTCAAAAAGGAAATATTTTCCATTTTTTTTTCTTCGATTTCATCATAGAATTGAATGATTATTCAGATCAACTATCAAATAGAGAATCGTTCAATCGTTTTGTTTTTCAAAGAAACAATTCTGGATTGAATGATGTTCTTTAGCTAAGATGAATTTTCAAATGAATAATTAAAATAATTCTTCTCAAATAAACTTGTTTCTTTTTCTTAAACAAATGAATATTTTCATTTTCATTGTCACAATTCATTTGAATACAAAAGCAAAATTTTCTTTTGGAAAATAATAACTGATTGATTTATTAGGAGTTTATTTTACAGTTGTTAAAGATGCCTGATGAAAAGAGATATACCCAATATTTATCTTTTGCTTCATTTCAGTTCTTAACATAAAAAACAAAATCAAATCAAATAAAGATTCTTTCTTTCATTTGAGAATAAGTTTAATTGAAATAGTCTATCAATTTTCTTATCAAAGGATTGGATTATTTTTTCATCTGATCGATTTTATAATAGATTTCCGAAAAAGAAACAATTGAAATGATTGATCAGTGAAATATTCTTTCTATCTTCCAGAATAATCGGAGAGTTTTCATCATAATCAAAGTCTTTTTTATTTCAATTTCTTCTTAAATATGATTAAAATGATCTATCGATGGAGAAAATCATTCGCTTTCTCATTGACTATCACTCAGTTCATTCGAAAAACATTGTTTTTCAATGAGTAGCATCTGATCATTTTCTCTATAAATAACAAAACTCAACAATGAAATCTCTCGTTAACATATTTTGAAAAAAATCCTTTGATTCAATGTGAATAAAAGAAGGAAGAGTCACATTTCAATTGTATTTCTTCAATGTTCTATGAATAGAATAACTTCAGTAATCATTTTATTGAGTAAATCAGTACACAATGGTTGTTATTGATTAAAGTATTCGAATCGATGTTTTCATCTCATTCGATGATTTAAAAAGAAAATCTTTTCTTTGGAAGATTCATTCGATATGATTGAACTTCCATTTGAACGCGCATGATCAATAAAATCCGATAAACTTTCTTTCAGAGCTCAATGATCATAATCATTGATGATTACATAGGAAAAAGAACATTTTTACAACTCATATCAATAAAACACAATGATTAAACAAAGAATTTTTGAAATAGTCATTCTAATTAAATTCAAAGAATGTTCTGTTCAAAAGTCTCGAATGAGAACTGGAATTGCTACTTTATCGAGAAATTCACTTCGAAAATTTGTCAATCAGATTGATTTGTGAATTGTTCAAAATGAATACATTATCAAAAAGTAGACAGATCAACAAATGTGAAGAATTCTATGAGAAAAATTTTATCCAACAGTTGTTTGTTTTTTCAGTGAAAATTTCTTGAAAAGATGAGAATGTAAATTGATTCGATCTTTTTCAAAGATTGAATTGAAAATGAAAGTAAAAGAAACGAATGAAATTTGTTTGATCATTCAGTTGAAATTAATTTTAAAAAAGAGATGAACATAAATTGATCGTCACTATCAAAGATCAGATTTAACTTCAATTTTTTTTTCATTTGTTTAATAAAAAGATTCTTTCAAAGAATTATCTCTTTCTCTTATTCAACAAATTAGTTCAGCTTGACCATCTCGAATTTTCACTTATCTTAAGATTTCGAACGATGAAGATTGATGGTCAAATCAAAAATAGAAATCCTTTACTCATGCTAATATGTCTATCTCAGAGATGTCCATCGCGGCGCGACCGCTACCGCGTCGCTTCCGCCACGGCGGTCGCGGCGTGGTAGCGGTGAACTTTTTCAAACTACCGTCGCGGTGCGGTGCGGCAGCGGTGAACGTTACTAAACTACCGTCGCGGTGCGGCGCGGTAGCGGTAGATTTTTTTCGGAGAAAAATGCAAAAATGCATGAATTTCAATAGAAATTCAGTATTTGCAAGTGCAGAACTATGAGATTCAACGAGTCTTATCGATTGGTAAGAAAAGTTCTGGTTCTGAACCGTCACAGGTCGTAAAATTCACATCATTATTCTGAAAACCATCGCGGCAGCGGCGCGGTTGTGACATTGCTATTTTTGGGAGCGGTGCGGCAGCGTCGCGGTAGGTTTTCTGTTTTACTCACCGCGGAGCGGTAGCGGTACGTTAGCCTTTTTGCTGTTATCGTCGCGGCGCGGCAGCGGTCACTTTTTAACCGGGATGGACATCTCTGGTCTATCTTCACCTGTGGAAATGTAATTTTTTTCTAGAGGAATAAGTGAAAATTTGGTCAAATGAGAAAAGTAGGATGATATTCCAATTGAATAAGTGAGCATCCATAGTTAAGATGCTTCTCAGATATATATCCCCCTGGCCAGAAATAGTTAGACTCGGTATTTTGAATAAATTATCACTATAAATCAACATTTTGGAGAAAGTAATTATAGATTCCGATAGCCCGTGAAATTCTCTACAAATCTCTATAAACATCTTTTGAATTGCATTTGTTCTCGGAAAAAAAATTCAAGCTCAACAAAGGCACCGTTATCGTTAGATTCCCCAGAAAGGCATTTTTTGCTTCTTCATCTACTTGTATTTCAAATTTATTTTGAATATAGGAGCATATTGTTACAAAAGTAAGTATGTATTCTGAAAGCGCGTGAAATTCTCTATCATCCTATATGTTTATGTCTTGTCTTGCATGTATTTATTGCAACAAATAAATGCAAAACAAGACATAAATACATAGGATGATAGAGAATTTCACACGCTTTCAGAATACATACTTACTTTTGTAATAACATGTTCTTATATTCAAAATAAATTTGAAATAGATGAAGAAACAAAAAATGCATTTCTGGGGAATCTAACGATGAGGGTGCCTTTGTTGAGCTTGAATTTTTTCCCGAGAACAAACGCAATTCAAAAGATATTTATAGAGATTTGTAGAGAATTTGACGGGCTATCCGAATCTATAATTACTTTCTCCAAAATGTTGATTTATAGTGATAATTTATTCAAAATACCGAGTCTAACTATTTCTGGCCAGGGGGATAGTTCATTTGTCGTGTCCATAACGGAAGCCAGCATATCAGAATAAGTGCCTAACCATTTTCGGCATCGAAATATCAGTCTCCACACTGAACGCGTGCCAAGAGGAAGGCTTTCCATAACATCTAGGGCGAGAAATTCTGATAGAATAAAGTTTCCTGCCATTAGCTTCATTGTACATTGATAATAATGCGTAAAAAATGCTCCTTAATGATGAGATAGAAGCTTTAAGTAGTTACTGTAGTGATTCAGTGTAAGATATGACTCATATAAGATGAGAAAAATTACTAATGATTCATGCGGGTCTACCGGCCGGTCCGGTCCGGTCTGACCGGTTTAGACCGGTACCGGTACCCGGTCTAGAAAAAACCCTACCGGTTACAACTCTGTTCAGCGCTGTTACTCGGGCTAAATCATATGCTTTTTGAATAGATCTGATCTTTCTCCAAGTCGAAGGAAAATGTTGTAATTTTCTAAAATTTGAGTCCAAATTTTTGAAAGTAGGTGGGGGATTGCTCCCCCACCCCCTATGCGCGTCGTCCTTACCTTAAGTATTGACACAGGAGAAATTTTAATTTGTAATAGATTGCCGTTAAGAAAGTTTTGATTCAGTTTCAATTTCAATTCAGATGAAATGAAATTTTAAATAAATTAAATGAAGTATTTTCAAATCTAATCATAAACTGCGTTTTCAGTAAG